GAAAATCCCAAAATAGAAAGACATTAATTCAAAAATTAAAGGACCATTAATAAATGTGTACTCTGCCTTAAAAATGATATATCAATACTGGTGTTAAATTGATAAATCCAGCACAGTGAGTGACATGTTCCCATGAAGAAAACTGGATGTGGAACATCTTAGGAACTTCATGTTGTCTTTGCAACTTGAATCTAAAATGATTCTAAAAGTTTGTTTTTTGTTTAGTTCGGAGTTTGACCTGAACTATGGTATACTAAAATTTTCTCAGAAGAATGTTGGCTAGTGGGGTCTAAAGATAACTCAGTGGTTAAGAACACTTGCTCTTGCAAAGGACCTGTGTCTGGTTCCCAGCATCTACATGGTGGCTCACAACTGTCTGTAATTCCAATTCCAGGGCATCAGACTCCCTTTTCTGTCCCCCATGGGCACTGCATGTGTGTGGTACATGTGCATCCATGCAAGCAAAACACTCTTGACACACAAAATAAAAATAAATAGATCTTTTTTTTTTTTGAAAAATAATATTGGCTGGGACCATTTATTTAAATGACTATTTCTTTAGTTCTGCTCAGATTAAGTCACTCTAATAAAGCAGTTTTGTTTCCTGTGATGGATAAATATAAATTATGGTTGGGGGCATTTTTGGTACAAGGTCAAGACTTCTTAAAATCACTCAGATAGGTTGTACCCCGAGGCTGAACACATTAAACCAGTAGTTCCCAGCAGGAAAACTGATGGCTGTGAAGGACAAGTTGTACATAAACAAGTTATACATAAAATATATACATAATATTTACTATTAGTTCATCTTGCCTAACAGGGCATGGCACATAAACATCCTCTAGACTGTCTACCTGCAACTCTCCAAGGCACCATACTTCTGCACACAGTCTCTGTTGTACTGTTTTTAATAAATCCCCTGTCCCCTTTCCAGCTGAGTAACACTCACACATCAAGATTCAGTTCATCTGTTATCCCTTCTAGGACCGGTCTCCTGACCCTGAATGTGACATATGTGATCTTTGTGTCCTCATCACATTTGGTATAGTCAAGTCCTCAGTCACATTTGATGGACGTCCTTATCACAGGACGCAAAGACAGTGCTTCCTTTACCTGGTACCTCTCTCAGCTCTTCAGACACAGGTGTCTTGTAACTAATCTGTGTTCCCAGTCCAGAGCATAGTGGAGCCTCACTAAACTAATGATAATTGAATGAATATACGTAACAAGGGAGGTTTTAAAAAAGGATGAGTTTCTAAAGGATTAAATAAAATAGGGAATAACACTTTTCTAAAAGGAACTGGTTTTGGGACAAACTGTTTTGCAGAAAACAGTCTGGAGTAGACCACTGATCCGAGTCTGGGTAGTTCTGATGCACTTTGTGATTTGAAACAGGTGTTGGAATACAGCTTATTTCCTCGATCGAGCGGGTCTTAAGAAGCCTAGATCTTAAAACAGAAAGCATGGCTTATCTCTCCCCTGATTCTCACGACACCCAGATCCCTGTTGCTATTTCTTTTTTGCTTTCTCCTGTTCGCCAGCTCTTTGGAAGCACCCACTACCTCTTCTGGTTGTAATTCTTTATAGACCCATTTATTCCCCTTCATTCAGTGAAGACTTTAGTACCCAGCTCAATGTGTCTGTCTATAGACACAGTAGTTCCCAAAGGTGGCATTAATATCTATGTAATTAGTACTTCACCAATCTAATGGATTAACTAGGATTAGGTCCAGCTACATTTAATAGGAAAGCAGTAGACACTAGTAGCATAACATGATTGGAATTTATTTCCCTCTCATAAAACCAAAAACGTCTGGAGGTAGGCATCTTTTATGAGATGATTTGCTAGTTGCATAGTTTTGTTTTTTTTTTTTTCTATTCCGTCGTTTTTAGCTACCTCATGGTC